TGGTGGGTTTTTGTTAAATGTGAGCCAAAATCATCACAATTAAAAGAACCAAAGACTTAAACTACTTCAGTCTGTGTGCATTGAATTGATTTAATACACGAGTTTCACAATTTGAGTTGAATTACTGAAATAAATGAACTTTTCCACGACATTCTAATGTATTGAGATGCACCTGTAGATATGCTTGGGCTGTTATAAATGTAAAATAAAAATAATTTATATATAGCTGTTTGGGGTGGGGATCAATTAAACTGATCCGCGATGAGGTCATAGTCGTGTTGCATTGTGGAGCGGCCTGAAGTGTTCAGTAAACCACTGTTACATTTAATCAGATAGCTTATAATTACACAGGCCTAATAGGGACACCTTAAAATAGTGTAACCAAAATGTTGTATTACATTTGAAAACATGACCAATTTTAACGTGTATGATAGATACTGGTTTGTATGGAAGCCCGTTTCCGCTACTGAATAAAAAATAAAAAAACGAATTTCCAAAGTTAAATTCCAATTTTGAGGGGGGGGGGACTGATAAGAATAGAATTGCGAGTTAAAAAAAATAAATGTCGCATTGCCCTTTTTTTTTTTTGATTCGGGGGGAAAAGCGGGCTTCCATAGGTTTGAATACACACAGAAGACTAAACAAATTGCCTAACCACACCGGAAGTAAACAAAGCGGACCACAGTCTTGGATACAGTCGCCACGGTAACAACAACAACAACAACAGCCGCAACAGTTACAGATGGGAAAACGAGTCAAGCTCTCAACAGCCAAAAGCTAATGATTTCGGCCTTCAGTAACGCTTCTGCTATCACAGTTAAAAGGAGAAATGGCATCTAGTTTACAGACGCAACACGAGACGCAAAGCGGGGTTTATACGTTCTCCAGTCGTCCGCGTGCGGTTCCCAACCGCCCCAAATACAGACAAGCCGCTCCGCTGCTGTGAGTCACACCACATCAGTATAAATCTCGCTTCGGCGGACATCTTCTGCCAATTAACAGTATAAACACGTTAAATATCATTGATAGATTGATATATAGATGTTTGCCTCCTTAGACAAATCCCTGTATTTTGTCCATTATAGCGGTGCTGTGAACATCAGGTAAACATAAGCTTTCTGATTTATTTATTAATTAATTATTAATTTTCCCAGCTCTCTTTTTACACAACGTAATCTGAAACGCTGTTTTATTGCAGTAACAGTAATTGTAATAATTACTAGAAAACTAAGATTACATTGGTAAGCCTTTTTGTTGTTGTTGTTGTTGTCTTGGGCTTATAATGTGATACCAAGTTGATCAGGGTTGGGCACTTAATGTTAATATTATTAAAGTGCATGATGGTTTGCCCATCGTTTTACTAATGAATAAATAAAAAAGGGATTTCTTTTTGAATGGATAAAATATGCAACATGCTGATTATTTTAATCTATTATACAATTTCTCCTCGCTGTATGCAGAAATGAAGAACAGAGCAGTTATGGAAACATCATGTATGACCGACGTGTTGTCAGAGGAAATACATACGCTCAACATATCCTACCCATTGTGAGTACCAGTACAGACAGGTTAGAAAACTCTCTTACAAGCAGATGGAGTTGTGTGTGTGCTTGTGTGCTCTGACAGCCAAGAGATCATTAATATTACGAACCATACATAACACAGTGTTGTTCATCACAATTAAAAGAACCAAAGACTTAAACTACTTCAGTCTGTGTGCATTGAATTGATTTAATACACGAGTTTCACAATTTGAGTTGAATTACTGAAATAAATGAACTTTTCCACGACATTCTAATGTATTGAGATGCACCTGTAGATATGCTTGGGCTGTTATAAATGTAAAATAAAAATAATTTATATATAGCTGTTTGGGGTGGGGATCAATTAAACTGATCCGCGATGAGGTCATAGTCGTGTTGCATTGTGGAGCGGCCTGAAGTGTTCAGTAAACCACTGTTACATTTAATCAGATAGCTTATAATTACACAGGCCTAATAGGGACACCTTAAAATAGTGTAACCAAAATGTTGTATTACATTTGAAAACATGACCAATTTTAACGTGTATGATAGATACTGGTTTGTATGGAAGCCCGTTTCCGCCACTGAATAAAAAATAAAAAAACGAATTTCCAAAGTTAAATTCCAATTTTGAGGGGGGGGGGACTGATAAGAATAGAATTGCGAGTTAAAAAAAATGAAAGAGAAAAAAAAGTCGCAATTACCTCTTTTCTTTTTTATTCAGTGGCGGAAACGGGCTTCCATAGGTTTGAATACACACAGAAGACTAAACAAATTGCCTAACCACACCGGAAGTAAACAAAGCGGACCACAGTCTTGGATACAGTCGCCACGGTAACAACAACAACAACAACAGCCGCAACAGTTACAGATGGGAAAACGAGTCAAGCTCTCAACAGCCAAAAGCTAATGATTTCGGCCTTCAGTAACGCTTCTGCTATCACAGTTAAAAGGAGAAATGGCATCTAGTTTACAGACGCAACACGAGACGCAAAGCGGGGTTTATACGTTCTCCAGTCGTCCGCGTGCGGTTCCCAACCGCCCCAAATACAGACAAGCCGCTCCGCTGCTGTGAGTCACACCACATCAGTATAAATCTCGCTTCGGCGGACATCTTCTGCCAATTAACAGTATAAACACGTTAAATATCATTGATAGATTGATATATAGATGTTTGCCTCCTTAGACAAATCCCTGTATTTTGTCCATTATAGCGGTGCTGTGAACATCAGGTAAACATAAGCTTTCTGATTTATTTATTAATTAATTATTAATTTTCCCAGCTCTCTTTTTACACAACGTAATCTGAAACGCTGTTTTATTGCAGTAACAGTAATTGTAATAATTACTAGAAAACTAAGATTACATTGGTAAGCCTTTTTGTTGTTGTTGTTGTTGTCTTGGGCTTATAATGTGATACCAAGTTGATCAGGGTTGGGCACTTAATGTTAATATTATTAAAGTGCATGATGGTTTGCCCATCGTTTTACTAATGAATAAATAAAAAAGGGATTTCTTTTTGAATGGATAAAATATGCAACATGCTGATTATTTTAATCTATTATACAATTTCTCCTCGCTGTATGCAGAAATGAAGAACAGAGCAGTTATGGAAACATCATGTATGACCGACGTGTTGTCAGAGGAAATACATACGCTCAACATATCCTACCCATTGTGAGTACCAGTACAGACAGGTTAGAAAACTCTCTTACAAGCAGATGGAGTTGTGTGTGTGCTTGTGTGCTCTGACAGCCAAGAGCTCATTAATATTACGAACCATACATAACACAGTGTTGTTTGCTCATATGGTGCTGTGATGAGAGCGCAGCTGATGCATGCATAGAATATAAATGAATATAAATATGTTTAATAGACATCTCAGCCCGATCCAGTTGAGTTCCTGAGACAGCAGGAGGCCAGAAAAAAAGCTTTGTCCAGAAAACGACTGAAGGAGCAGTTTGGCCCGAAAACACCAGAACCACTAGAGGGCAGATTGAACATAGATGTGCAGACAGGTATAATGATTTTGCACAATGAAGTAGAGTGCTGCACAGATGTTTTTGTAGGCCAAAACCCAGAAATCTGTTATTATTTTAGCACCTCCATTTCCATAGTCCTGAACTTTTTGAGTGAATTTTTGGTTAAATGCCTGAAATATATAACGTCTGTGGTTGACACATAAACTACATCAGTTGTACTCCCATGTGATTTTTTTTAAAGCTTTTACTTGTCTTGAAAAAGTGGCTAAATGAGACTACAGAGGTTTTTTGGGACATTAAACATCATCACACCAAACAGGACAATCCATCCACTTAATAGTCTGCTTTTACAGCTTACTTGTGTTTATAATCACACTCTCTATTCTAACTCAGACTTTCATGGAAAATTATTATTTTTTTTTTTTAAAGCTGTTGGACGCTTAATAGTGGCGATGTTGAAGTCATGTGATCATGATGTAGTTTGTTTGTAGCTAGCTTTCGAATTCTGGAAATTGTATATAGGCTTTCAAATTCAGAAGATTATGATGAACGACTCATGTAAGAATCATATACTTTTGTTGGTCACTCAGTTTATTTTCTTCAAGAATCCAAAAGCCAACAGAAAAATCCTATAGGGTGATACTAACTTCCAGATCGGCCTACAAAAAAAAGTCAGAGCCAAATTAGTGCTGGGCGGTATGACCAAAAATGTATATCACGTTAATTTTCTAAATTATACCGGTTTCACGGTACATGATGGTGTATTTTTTTTTTCATGCATGACTGGGTGTTAACCATATTTCTACTGATTGAAAGAGGAAATACTGCAGTATATTGACTTAGAATGCCCTATTTTACTGTCATGATGAGTGAATATTGTCAAAAAATACCACACTAAATAGTGACTAAACACGACCCCTTTTAATACATGTTAACCAGGAGTCACTCTCATTTATAATCGCGGCATCGTCTGATAAAATCAACATGCATGTACACTAAAGATGTATAAATGCGGTTGTTTTGGCTATATTACTTTCAGTTTAATTAATAGTTGAGGTGAAGAGTTAACCTGTTTTCATTTCAGGTCATACCAGGAAACAAGTCAAATCTGGAAAAATATGGCGGAGTTCATGCATTCTTCATAAAAATCTGAATACGTTTCTTCTTAATATAAATGTAGTATTCATATATTATTTGAATAAAATTTCGAAAAATATGCCTATTGTGTTTTGAACTGCACTTCAAGAACAACACTGTAGGAGGCTCTGCGGAGTCTGAATACTGACCTTCAATCTTGGCCACATTATTTTTCCCTTTATTCAGTTCCATCACACAAAAGTACAATACAAACAGGGAAACGTTGCACATCTCAAAGCATGAAAAACAGAACAACAGCAACAACAAAAATGCAAAATTAATACAAACATATATATATATATATATATATATATATATATATATATATATAAATAAAATAAAAATAACAGGATAAAAAAATAACAACAATACATACATTAGGGCAGTTACATAACTTTGAAAAGCTTTAGAATTTGTATTGTTTTTATTAGCTTCTTATTTTGTGATCTCATATTAGAAAGGGTTTCAAAGTATATTTTAAGATCAGTGTTACAAAATGTAATATATGATGGTTTCTTTTGAATTACTTTTGACCTATGTATATAAAACTTTGCTAAGATAATTAACAGATTAATAATATAAATACGTTTATCAGAAAAAGATGGCCTTTGAAAGTAAAATATCACGAGGTTCTAAATTAAAGGTTTTGTTTAATTTTTTTTGTTAGGTCTATTTTAAATTCAACCCAAAATGAAAAAGAGAAAGGGCAATAGAAAAATAAATGTTCAATATCGTCAACAGATACATTACAAAAGGTACATTTATCACAAACATATGAATATATCTGCTAACAACTGCATTTACAGGATAATATCTGTAATTAATTTTGTAAAGTACTTCTTTTACTTTATTAGAAATTACATATTTATATGGAAACATCCAAATGCTGTGCCAAGATATACAATGAGGTTTAAGCCATTTTGATTTACATGAAGGATTGGATCCGACATTAAGGGAGTTTCTTATTAAACTGTTATCAGAATCAGAATCAGAATCAGAAGAGCTTTATTACCAAGTATGTTTACACACACAAGGAATTTGACTTGACGACTGGTTAAATTCTTTTTCGTTTACAAAAAAGCCATATTTTGTAATAAAATTAGGGTAAGTGTATAATTGCCCATTCTTGTCAATAAGCTGGTTTGCGATTAATATGCTATGCCGAACCCAATTCTCCACATACAGTGACTTGTTATTATGAGAGATATTACCATTGTTCCATATAAAACACCTGCTAGGAGAAAAATTGTGTTTGTACAAAAGTGACCAGTAAAGTAATGCTTGTTTGTGATAGTTGGCCAAAGCAATGGGAAGTTTGCCAGTTATATAAGGACACTGCAACAAAAAAAAAGTCAATCTTGACCACATTATTATTGCTGTAATGCAGCTGTACTGTATGGAAAACTTGTGACGACTCTCGTTAATATTTAGAGTCTATTTAAAATTCGTAGAAGTGGCATTCTAGAATTTTGAGGAGTATTATGAGCAGTGTTGGGGGTAACGCATTACAAGTACGTAATCAGATTACTTTTTTCAAGTAACTAGTAAAGTAACGCATTACTTTTTAATTTACAAGAGAATATCGGAGTTACTTTTTCAAATAAGTAACGCAGGTTACTTTTTTTTTTCACTTAATTTTTTAACAGATTTGGGATTAAAGTTTGCATGGAAATAACTGCCTTCAATGCAGTGAAGAATTATTACAACCAATCAAAAGTGATGCAAAAGAGTAGGCTATGCAGGGAAATCATTTACTGACAGTTTGACACAAATGTGAGACCTATAACCAACTACTTGTACACTATCGTACTATTGAACACTGCTACGCTGTTTTATTAAACGCTTTATAATATTTCTGAATTTTGCACGTCCGTTGAACCGGCACCATACTTTACTTAAATGCTGTACATTTTTCTGTCTTTGCATTCATTTTTCAAGTAAACTAATGTCATTCAGCTTGCATGAAAGGCTCTGAAGCCACTTGCGCAGGGCGTAATTATGATTAATTATTGTGGGCGTCGCGCCGCAGCGTGTCTGGAACACGAACTGGAGCCGCTGCCATTCAGATGAGCGCACAAAGGTGAGCGCACCGTCAGTCATATTCCCACCGCCGGACTCTGTGCTCATTTCCTCGGAGGGAGGGGGATTTTTGGCCGAAGCTGGACTGGATTGACTCACCGGCTCTGGTAAGATTTGCTCCGATCGATTATCGACAGGGTCAAAGACCACAACAGTTAGTGCGTCTATCACTCACGCTTTTCTCTTTGTACAGACGCCGCCCAGTTCAAAGAGAAATCTCTACCACAACAGGTGTTGCGCTGATTATCGCGGTGGGGTAGCCTGTATCGTACTAGCCTATACAGAATGGGGGCTTTTTACAAACACGAAAAGGAACTCAAATTACAATCTTCCCATTTTTATAGGTATGACTAACGTTACCAGGTGGACCAAAAAAAAGCTCTATGCAAATGTATGTTTAGATAGTGAGTGACTAGCTACGCATGGGAACTGAGAACGGTTTTCAGTTCCATTTAACAAAAATATCGAAATCGGCTCATTTGAGTACGCTCGGTTCCGGTTGTCTTCTTTTGCCGCGAGTAAATCAACCTAGTTGAATACTCTGACACCGATCTTCAGCGAAACGCGGCATTGTAGTTCTAATCCCGAACGAATGACTCCCAACTGAGCGATTCATATGAGTCGGTTCTTTTTTTTTAAAGAATCGAAACCATACCGTCGGTTTTTTAGTGAATCGATACAGCGCGAGCCGTGAAATCATTCCCGAATGAATGACTCTCATGAACCGGATATTTTTAGTGCATCAAAACGCATCACATGAACGTAATCTGACTCACTTAATTAATTATTTGCTATGAATTTGGTCATGTCCGACTCAAATACACCAGAACCGTTGGTGTTAGCTATATTGTAGAATATAGCCTATAGAGACTCATAAGATTGTAATACTTAGTTAGGACCTACTGACAGGTTCTCAACGTGAAGATGAAATATCCTACATATTTTTACCGCATTTGTTTCTGTATTTTGATCAGTATTTGTATAATGAAAAGTCATTGTGTAAGCATACCATTTAAAATGTGATGCAATTTATTTATTTTGTATTTGTTTTATCTGGTCTATTTAATGTCAAATGTAAATAAAACATCACCATAGATAGGCTAGACAGCTGAGGGCAAAAAAAATCTTCCTTTCTTTCTTTTTAATTGTTAGTGGGGGTGTTTAAAATTGTCCCCTAACTTAGCCTGACACCAATTTGCTCTCATAAACCTGAATGCAAACATATTTAAACTACCATAAATGTCCAAAACTGTATGTTCTTCGGCGTCGTCTCATATAGGCTGCATACCCATAATGAGTTGTATTAGCTAGTTTGATATTTTATGGGAAGATCTCAAATATCTCGCATGATTCAGTTACCGCTATATTTAATAAGCCTAACCGAATATTTGAGATTTGGTCATGTCCGACTCAAATACACCAGAACCGTTGGTGTTAGCTATATTGTAGAATAGCCTATAGAGACTCATAAGATTGTAATACTTAGTTAGGACCTACTGACAGGTTCTCAACGTGAAGATGAAATATCCTACATATTTTTACCGCATTTGTTTCTGTATTTTGATCAGTATTTGTATAATGAAAAGTCATTGTGTAAGCATACCATTTAAAATGTGATGCAATTTATTTATTTTGTATTTGTTTTATCTGGTCTATTTAATGTCAAATGTAAATAAAACATCACCATAGATAGGCTAGACAGCTGAGGGCAAAAAAAATCTTCCTTTCTTTCTTTTTAATTGTTAGTGGGGGTGTTTAAAATTGTCCCCTAACTTAGCCTGACACCAATTTGCTCTCATAAACCTGAATGCAAACATATTTAAACTACCATAAATGTCCAAAACTGTATGTTCTTCGGCGTCGTCTCATATAGGCTGCATACCCATAATGAGTTGTATTAGCTAGTTTGATATTTTATGGGAAGATCTCAAATATCTCGCATGATTCAGTTACCGCTATATTTAATAAGCCTAACCGAATATTTGACTTCATTCCCTATCAAGGATCGGTCTTTGGGAAACAGAGACTGGAGCAAATATTTGTAGAATGGGGTGGGGACTTTAAATTGAAAGGCGGTGTTACCTCTTTTGGGTGAGGCTGTCACAACCCTGAGTTCCAGGTTTTAATCGTGATTCACATGGAGTGCGTCAGGTTTTATTCTCAGCGATCTTTAAACGACAGACAGACTGTTCTTGAGTCATTCTCACTAGCGCCGTTTTCTCTTTCTGCTTCAGAGGGAGGCTCCGTGGAAATAGGCTACACGATATTCTTTGACAGAAGAGATCTACAACAGGGTTCAAAATGCCTAAACCTGTAAGTATTTCCCGAGTTTTATCTTAGCATTGTTAAAGTGTTTAGGCTCAGTATGAGTGTTTAGCATGTTTTCAACTTCTGTCCAGTGTTTTGAAATATTATGGAGGATTTCTGGTCTGATAGAAAAAAAAATCGTTTTTGTATCGTGATTTTATGAAATGGAATGAAAGTCTGGTTCTTATTTGCTCTATCTTCAAACCGTAGTTCCTAAATGTTGAAACTTACATTTTGTTAGCGAAATTATGTCAGTTGTCATCAGTGTTGGGGGTAACGCATTACAAGTAACGCGAGTTACTCAATCAGATTACTTTTTCAAGTAACTAGTAAAGTAACGCATTAGTTTTTAATTGACGAGAATATCTGAGTTACTTTTTCAAATGAGTAACGCAAGTTACTTTTTTTTTCTTCCAATTTATTGACTGACAGCTCTCCTGTCGCAATGTTGAGAGAAATCAGAAGATGTTACTGTAGTTCTAAATAAATATGAATATGCATTCATTCATCTCACTCACACAACCACAGATTCAGTATTCCTCAAAATTAATAAAAATAATGCAACTCAGAATATGACGCAAACCTGCAATAATTAAATGTTAAACAACACAAATATCCTTTATGTATTTAATCCCATTCTATTAAGCAATGTCTTTGCTTCTGACCTTCGATGATCCAGTTCAACCGTACTAATAAGCACAAATTACTCTAGACAAACATTCGTGTGTCTTTTTTTTTTATTGCTGAAGTGTTGAAATTTCTTCTTCTGTATTCTACTGTACGGACGTAAATGTACTTTTCCTTCAGCTTGAGGCTTATTCATTTCACTTTTGGTGTGAAAAGGCTTTTATATTCGCCAAAAATAGAACTTTTTCTATTTTAAAAACAAACAAGCAAGCCCTGTCCAGATTTAAAAAGTAACGGAAAAGTAACGCAACGCATTACTTTCCATAAAAAGTAACTAAGTAACGTAATTAGTTACTTTTTTATGGAGTAATGCATTACTTTTAAAAGTAACTTTCCCCAACACTGGTTGTCGTTAAGTTACTTCTTAGAGGCACATTTGTTTGTTTTAAGGCAGAGTTTATAAGGTTTGGGTCTCGTTTATACCTGCTTTTGGCTTGTTTACCCTCAACAAAATTGTAGTATGTGTGACGTTTATGTAGTTAAAATGTATTTGTTTTAAACACAGTATTGAATGCTATCTGTGTTTGCTTATAAACACTCTTAAAACAGCAAGTGCAGCATGTTGTCAGTTTGTTTAAGATGGTAACAGGGTTGTCAGGAAGAGTACAGAGTACATCATGTTGCTTTCCTCAGAGCTTCTCATTCATCCTTGGCCCCCAGCACTGCCTGCTGAAATGCTGAATTCAGAGGCTTGTTCTTGGTGCCATGGTCAGTTTAGATGGATTTGAGTTCAAAAGAGTAATTCTTTCAAGATTTGTCAGTCATTTAGATGCTTTTAAATCAAGCAATAAAGTAAAAATGATCAAATTAAATGATTTCACTTTGTAAGTTACACATTTTGTTTCAGTTTCTACACTGAACCCCACTATGAAGATATTTTGCTGTCTTAATATTTCCCCTCCTGTTCCATAGCAAGTTTCAGATGTGTCTATAATCAGCACTTTCAGCAGCTGAGGGTGTTTCCTCTCAAATCTTTGTTATCGTTTGTTTTGCTGAATAATTGATGACTAGACAATGCCTGTTACTCCCTTTGGTGATGTAGCACAAAAGCTCATTGTGCTGTAATCAATCCTCATGTGCTCTTGGGCTTTAGCTCAAACCAGCTCAATGAAAGACTAACAGTACCATCCAAATAGGAACTTTAGGAAAAAGGCAGTTCTGAGCAAAGAGAAGTTCATGCAACTCAAGACATGCAACCCTTAACAGAAGTGTCATTAAGTTTCTGCCCCTACTTTTATAGTACACGTCATCATAGCACCATTTCAACTTGGGCTCCTTGTGCCTCTGCCTAGTGTACTTTTTTTTTTTTTCTTTTTTTTTTTTTGCAAAAATCCCAAAAATGCATACAATTCACTGCAGTTGCTGGCTGAAATGAACACTAGTGGCATAAAATGCCTTTTAATCCTTTTCACACAAATTATGATTACAGGGGTAGATTATTGATTAATAAAAACTAAAAATTTTCTCTCAGTTCCTTTATGACCTCAGAACACTTTCGCCATAGTGCGTGATTTGTAAACTAAAGCATTTTGGCGTTTGCACCATACAACCAGCTCCATATGCATGGCTTTATGTAGTAAACTTGCTTGTTACCTCACCCGGTACAGCATTGCACTTGCAGTGTGCTCGGGTGCGAGTCCTGATAAAAAAAGCTCAAAAACTTGTAAAAGCAAGCTAAAGTGGCATGGTTGCTTAGCAAATGCATTTTTCTGTTACACTTACTTTTGTTAACACTTTCGTTAGGTTTTGCATTTTAGGATTCAGTGTAAGTCGTACATTATTTGCGCAATAACTGTTTAGCGCCACTCACTAGATATTTAATTTCCAAACTGCCGCGATACATACAACCAAAGTTAAACATTGCCAGATTCACTTTTCAGTTTTCGGACAAGACGCGCTTTTATTGCCACTCGCTGGACATTTCACTTGGAAAAGTATATTCGAAATATAATTTTACAGAAATATCGCCAGAGGCATTTGTTTTGTTTTCCGATTTGCCGGGGTTGCAATAGTTGCAGAAGATAAATATAGGTTTTGAATAATTAGATGGTTTCTTGGCTGTTGTTTTGGCCCAGCTACTATATAATTCAGGAGACATTTAAAATAAAGGACTGGTTAGATTTAGCAAAGAATCTTCTTTTAACTGTAAAAATCTCCAATTAGATTTGGTCAGTAGCTGACTGGGTATGTTGTCTGTAGATCAACAGTAAATGCATGTCTGTGATGTTATATTTTTCATGAGCAACCAGTTTTTAGTAGTCAGTCAGAATTTTAATCGCCTTGTAACATAGATTTTTTTGGTTTGATGACATCTGTTGCCCGATGACGCTAATCGGAACCTGAGCTTGGTGACTGTGCTCCATTTCGCCAGTATATTGCAGCCAAAAAAGTTTGTCGGTCGGCTAAAACCATTTTGAGAGCAATGCAGAGAAATGGTGAGACTATTAAAATGCAGGCTGATGCAGGAGGTGGACCACTTAGAGGATGTTTCTGAAAGAGACCCTTTGTTTTGCCGGGTAAATGGATACCCCTCCGTCTCCCCCTCTTTGGCGAGTTGGATGCCAGTCTTTAAGCTGAACTCTTCACCACTAGATTTCAGATGTACAGTACTCGGCAGGCCTATGATTCCTTTTTATTGTCAGTGGAGGGTCTATATCAAGTTATTTATTAGTGTTGATGATTTGTAATTGTATATTTGTTTATGAATTTCTGTGTGATTGTGTGTTTACTATCACAGCGCTGTTTTCAGGAAACTTCCCAGCAGTCCTCTTTAAGCTTGGTACAGGAAGTTCTTTAAATATAACAATGCTTGTGGTGTTGATTGATTATTCACAAGAACTGCTCATAGTCATTCTCTATAAAGTTTTATGTTCAGTAGGGTTGGGTTAGCAAAAAAAGAAGTTATATAATGGCTTAAGATGTTGTTGTTGTGTTGGTTTTTTTTTTATTATTTTTTTTTTTTACACACAGAAACAGTCATTTCAACCAAACAGTTATCGTTATATAATATAAGAACCAGTGATATTTTAGTATCATTGATGTACTATAGTTTTGGTTAATGTTTTGAATTAAATTGTATATATATGTGTGTGTGTTTTCATTTTTAATTTTAGTTAAAGCTTTAGTAATTATTGTTTTTTTAAATGTTTTCATTATTATGTTTATTTATTTATTTATTTATTAGTTTTGTTTTAGTTTAGTACTTTTTAAAGAAGAAACTATTAATAAAAGTACCAGTCCCACATTTCATATTCCATGTACAAAGGCAAATTACTTTTTAAAATTATTTTTCTATATTATGTACATTATTATAACCGCAATTGCTGTTTTTCAAATTATGTTTTAACTAATTTTTTATTAATGAAAAATGTATGTATTTTTATTATTAAAATATTAATACACAAAGTTCACCATATGACATGAAAGTAAATACTGGTGTTTTTTTCATGGACTTTTTATTCAATGTGGACTGGTGCTATGAAGCTTCAAAAATGACACAAAATCACTGCTGAATTATCATAAAAGCAGTCTGTATGACTTTTATATTATATATTGGAAAAAAATTACAAGTAGCATACATTCTTTAAAATTCCCCCTTTTGTGCTCCATGGAAAACAAAGTCATACAGTGTGAAACAACGTGAGTGTGAGTAAATGATGACAGAATTGTCATTTTGATATGAACTACAGGTGCATCTCAATAAATTAGAATGTCGTGGAAAAGTTCATTTATTTCAGTAATTCAACTCAAATTGTGAAACTCGTGTATTAAATAAATTCAATGCACACAGACTGAAGTAGTTTTTCTTTGGTTCTTTTAATTGTGATGATTTTGGCTCACATTTACATTAACAGAAACCCACCAATTCACTATCTCAACAAATTAGAATATGGTGACATGCTAATCAACTCAAAACACCTGCAAAGGTTTCCTGAGCCTTCAAAATGGTCTCTGTTTGGTTCACTAGGCTACACAATCATGGGGAAGACTGCTGATCTGACAGTTGTCCAGAAGACAATCATTAACACCCTTCACAAGGAGGGTAAGCCACAAACATTCATTGCCAAAGAAGCTGGCTGTTCACGGAGTGCTGTATCCAAGCATGTTAACAGAAAGTTGAGTGGAAGGAAAAAGTGTGGAAGAAAAAGATGCACAACCAACCGAGAAAACCGTTGGATGAAGCCTTATGAGGATTGTCAAGCAAAATCGATTCAAGAATTTGAGTGAACTTCACAAGGAATGGACTGAGGCTGGGGTCAAGGCATCAAGAGCCACCACACACAGACGTGTCAAGGAATTTGGCTACAGTTGTCGTATTCCTCTTGTTAAGCCTTGCTTTTGTATTGCTGAAAGGGTGGAATCTGTTGTCTGCACTGCTTTGGTCTGAACACTTTTGTGAGTTTCTGTTTATATAGTTATGAGATTTCATAGTGGAGCAATTCTTTTAAAGCAGCTACATAATTAGAAATGGTTATTCTTTCTTACCAGACACACTCATTGCTCCCACCCAGTATGGAGTGTCTGTGATTCTCCAGCAGTAGTCTCTTCGCTTATTTTTGTTCAGCCACCATCATTGCTGACAGTTCACATGGTAATCACATGAAAATGGATCACTGAATCAGATGTGTGCTTTATGATTGTGCTTTACAATATCAACAATGGTAATTCTTGTCTATTAGAAACTCCTCTTAGACTGCTGTCGTCTTTTCCTGGATGAGAACTACAATACTTTCACCTAGATGTTTTTTTTTATTTTTTACTTCAATTGGCTCTCACAAATGATTTATTGTTCCTTGATTCTGTGAGTTTGTTGTCTGTTCATTGTGAAGAAACGCCTCTGTTTGGTATTTCTTGGGAAAGTGCTTTAAAATGACTCTTTGTTGTCCCATAAAATGGTACAAATTTGATTGTAGAGCGGTTTCAGCCTTTTTCTTGTTGACTTAGTCCTGTCAAACATTAACAGTAGAATAGATTGGCATTTCCCCTTTACAAATAGTGGCTGAGGCACATTGTTCTGTGAGGCCACTCCTGCTGTTTTCCCAGTTTCTTTCAAGCCATGTCTGCTTCAAGAACGATAGTCTGGGTCATCAGCTTGCTACACAATCAGACTAAAGTTATCAACATAGATCATTACTGTATTCCGTGTGTTTGTTTGTTTTTGGCCAGCGTGCTTGTGATCGTCTCATCATTGCAGATTTTTTTTTTAAATTTCCTTTGCTTCTGAAATTGCTTCTATAAAATGAAAACCGTAAAATCTAAAGTTGTAACCATCTTGTAAGATGACCATTTTCCTCTCAACTGCTTTTTTATTTTTTATTTTATTTAACAGCACGAATGTCAACAGTGGTTGCTAATGTAATTGTTTTTATTTTAATTTTTTTCTCTCTCTCTCTCTTTAGGTAAATGTTCGCGTCACTTCGATGGACGCGGAGCTGGAGTTTGCCGTTCAGCCCAGCACAACTGGCAAGCAGCTATTTGACCAGGTCTGCAACTAAACATCCAGAAAAGAAATAGATGAATTAACAAGCATTGGTTAGGATCATGTGCATGAATACTGAACCATGCTTTACAAACAGTTTTCAGAGCGTTAACTTAAACTCTTAAAGGGGTCCTATTATGCTCTTTTTAAAAAGTCTTGATTTTGTTTTGGGGGTGTACTAGAACAGGCTCTCATACTCGGTTGTTTGAAAAACACATTATTTTTCACACATTTTACATTATTACAACACCTCTCTCCCCAGTCTGGCATGAACGGCTCGAATAGTTCCTGTATCAAATGAAGGCCCGCCTTCTGGAATACGAAATGTGCTGTGATTGGTTAGCTGGGCCAGTGTGTGTTGTGATTGGTTAGCTGGGCCAGTGTGTGTTGTGATTGGTTAGCTGGGCCAGTGTGTGTTGTGATTGGCAGCACTCGGCGCCTGGTCGGGGAATGTCATGCCCCTTACCATAGCCGCCCGCGAGCTTCAGTGTAAATATTGCGTCAATACCAAATCAATTTGAGCGTGATTGTAACCACTCCAAGTTCGTCTGCCTTGAGAAAGCTAGCGTGTCTCCGACATAGTGATAACACTCGTTGTCTTCTCTAGTGCAGCTCAACCAGGTCTCGTCCCATTCGTCGATATTTGTGATATCACAAATCCCGGAAAATATACGTTGTAGTCCAAACTAGAGACCTGCGCGGGACGGATATTTCCGCGCCCACCCGCTCCCGCAGAAATATATCTTATCTGGTCCCGCTCCCGCCCGCGACATTCATGTTTTGTCCCACTCCCGCCCGCAAAAGCCCACATAAGTAATCTATATAGATTTATTTTCAGTACTTAGAAGAAATTTACATAAAATGGTTCTGTAATATCTCCGAAGCTCCACAACATACCAGCATAAACGCTCCCGATAAAATATTTGTTATTTAGGCTAAGCATCAACATTCACATTCACAAACCACTGTTATTTTTAACAGAAAAGCAAGCATGTGCTGCTGCGTGCATGGTTTGGCATGGCAGAATGCGAGCAGCACGCTTCCTTTATTATCACTAAAAGCTGACATCTCAGTTAATCGCGATCTCATAAAGCTTTGTTATATCACATTAAATATATGCACAATGAATCTTTCACAGTGTCTACACTTCATGTATTAAAATGAGAGGATTCCTGAGCACGCAATTTCAGCACTGCGGTGAGTAGATTCTAACTTAATCACCTCGGATTGGCCATTGTGTTTCAGAAATCAACAGCTGAGTCTGTGATTGGCTACATTGCGCAACCTTTTAAACACGTGTTATAAATAGAAACTATGCCTAGCTTGCGCATGTCAATCATTTTAATGTTAATATTAGTTGTTCTTTTTGCTTTTGTGCAACAGATAAATAATTTATGCTTTAAACACTTTGTTTAGATCATTTCTATTTTGCGGGAGTCCCGCAAATCATTTTATTCTCCCGCGTCCCGCACACACACGAGTCTCTTACCGCCCGCACCCGCACTCGCCCATCAAGAGTTGTCCCGTGCCGTACCCTGTTACGTTGGGTCCCGCGGTCCTCCCGCGAGAGTGCAGGTCTCTAGTCCAAACGAGTCGTTCGTTTTAGTTTTTGAAAAGTGATTTCTGTTAAATAAAATATCTCCTTTTGAAGTGGACTTTGAGCTTTGTAACTTTGCAGATCTTTTTTATGCTCAAACAGCAGCATTACAGACTAACTAAAGTTAAGCACAAAAAAAGAGCAGGAGGAACATGTTTTTAAGTCTAAACTTTTATATTGGATTATTTGAATATAAAATGTATTAAAAAAATGAAAGAATTGTTATCATTTTTAAATAAAAATTGTATTTTAAATGATAATTTTATACATATAAATTTATATAAAAAAATGTGTATTTAAAATAATGGTAACAAACAGTTAAAGATGTCACAGAACAAACTCAGACTTCACTGGGCATCAGTAGCACCGATGCCTATGACCTAATTTAATTACCGGCTTGGTGACATGGGATAATCCCCTGCAAATAGAAAGCCCAGAACACCACGAAAACCTCACAGGAAGGGTTTTTCTTCTTTAAAAGAGCATATCCCTTGACGTATGACTCACTGACCATTACACTGATGTGCTCATTGACTGCCACGACTGTGGAAACAGTGAATACGGGCTGTTCCTCTATGACCACACTCTAATTTTCCCATTCATAACAGAACCCACAGCTGAAGCAGTCTCCACTTCAGAGTAAGTGCTATGAGCCAGTCATGAACTGTGGATGGCACACGGCATAGATGAGAGGTTTGCACTGAAGCCTCTGGCAGTCCAACTGTCCATGCTGGCAGACTGAGTTGCCGAGAAAAAAAAAAAAAGAGTTCTTAAAGTCCAGAGCGTTATGGATAATTATGTAATGTTCTTATTAAATAAATCTTAGCAGGGTGTTTAATTTGAATAATGTTACCTAAATTCAGTCTTGAAATTCAGAAATTGGTGCCGTGACCCGGGTCTGGTTGACTCTTGCATTTCTTCTCATTGGGTTGAAACGCACCTATTTTAAAGCTGGTTATTGCTGTTTTTTTTAATGGGGGGGTGGGGAAGGTTAAATAATTTCTAGGTACTACTCTACTTGGGTTAAACCCACTTTCTCGAATAGCTTTGTCAGTGAGCTTAGAGATGCTTAGAACCTGTTGAGCTGGTTTACAGCATTTGTTACGTTCTTGTCACCAACTTTGGATTTTTTTTTCTTTTTCCAGGAATATGGTATGATTGTGACTGGTTATAAAAGGCAATCGAAGTGCAATAGAAGATCTGATTGGTTGAAGAAAAATATTGTTGAAATGTTGTTTTTATCAAATGCAGATCTGTAAAACATTTGTCATGAGATTTCTGTTTAGATTTTCTACCATAATTTTTCCCCTAACTGAAGTGTTCTTCAGCTGCACACAGACGAAAAATACTGTTGTCAGTTTGGTTGGTTACTAGTCTGACAAGCTCATTTTACTGACAGGACTCCTGTAAATTTTCAGGACAACAATAAATTAAAGGTAAGCGTGGTTGTGTGCATTAATCAGAATCGCACTTAGAAACTAATTGTCTGTCATGTCATTGACACACATACGTGCACATGCTTTGGGGGTAATTCTTTGCTGCCAATCACAATCAAACTCCGGAAAACTGTATTTGCGTTGGTGGAAGAAGAAGAAAAAAAAACAGGACATCTGAGAAAATGAAACCTATTAGTAAATTTGCACTTAACATTTCCTGCAGTGCAGTTTTTGTTTCAAAAGGTTACAGATGGCACATGTTCTATGTGTATTTATTTATTTAGGTGGTTATGCATACTGAATGTGTGACACTTACTAGATCAGTACATGTTTTATTTTAAACATGTATTTTTTTCATAGTATCACTTAAAGAGGACATGACCACCATAGCTCAGTATGTTAGCTTTACAAAACAAAAAAAAATGATAATAATTACTGACCCAAAACATTTGAAAAGTGGTGCAAATGTTGAAAATTCAATAATTTTGTATACTCTCGGGCTGTTGCTCTAAACTCCTGTTGGACCAGCAGGTAACGGCCACTGCATTAGAGCTGCAACATTTGCCAAAACGGTAATAAATACCATCTTGCACAAAGCCTCTGGGAAATTGTGTACGTGCATGTATACCCATTGAAATCTGAAGTTTTCCCTTCAGGGCCGCTGGTGCTCATCACCCTCCACTCCTGCAAAAACTAATGAGTGTGAATGAGCTAATGACTTACAGTACTTTGTGATGGAAAGAAGGCCAAAATATATATATTCAGTATATTCTTTAAATATGGCCTTTATTCTGTTTTCAAGGAAATGTAACCCTGTGCTCTGTTGGATTTCAAAGCACTAAGTATACAATAGTCGCAAAGCAGTCAGCAACCGCTTAATTCATTCATCTATATATTGTGTGCTAAAAGGTGTCTTTTGTTTTGTTTTTTTTTCCTGACAGGTGGTGAAGACCATCGGGTTACGTGAAATATGGTACTTCGGACTACAGTATATGGACAGCAAAGGGTACTTTACATGGCTGAAACTTGATAAAAAGGTAATTGTACATTTAGCACAACAATGATATTCTGATTTTTTTCTTTACCGGCAGTTCGGCGTCAATTGCTTGAATGCAACAACAAAATACAACGTCAAACTCACTTTAGCGTATATATAAAACATAGAACTTTTATTAACAAAACAAAAACACCACGCTATAGGGCAAGCTATGCCTAATATAAAATAACAAATAACTTGCATAAAGTTTAATAGGTATACAAAACTGGAAATAAGTAAACAGTTATAATATATAACTAAATAAATAAGACGCGTAGAACGTTTATCAAAACGAATGTCAAATAAAATAAATGACACCGTTTATATAAAGAATATCAGCAAACAACGTGGAGCCAATTAAATAAGAAATGAATGTTTAAAAAAAAAAAACTTCCAAAATCATCTTGGATAAACGACAAAAGTCAACAGGCTTTTCAAAATCACAAATATTGCCAAACAGGCGCTTTTGCATCTAGTTTCGAAACTAAATCATCCGCGATCGTCTTGTCCGTCTCACCTCACTCTTCTCGTCAGTCAGCTAGACTCGCTCGACTCACTCTCCTCACTGGAGAAATTAAATCTGATCCGTGATGCGACTGTTGTTCGACACACTGCATTGAGCAGCCGCGTTCAGTTTTTAACTGTAGTGTCTGTTCTTTTACTGAACTAAATTATTTTTATTACTATAAAAAAATCAAAACGACGGTGGGGTCAGTGACGTAACCGGTGTTGCGGCTTAACACCGGTAGCACCGTCTATCGCGGCAAGCCTAATATAGATTCCCAAGCATAGATTACTCATACATGCCTTTCACCTGTTGGACTATAACACAATCAGTAGGTTGAACATTTCAATTGTGTGTTTCCTCGTTGTTGTCTTCATACAGCTGATACAATATACTTCAGAGGAAAGCAGATTTCCTCATACATGGAAATGAATGACTTTTTGTGAGATTGAATTATATTTTTTCTCCAATTGTGTTAGTCTGACTTTTGTAGTTTGATTGTTTCATTAATTATTAGAATAAGGATGAAGCTTTCAAAATACAAGCATGAGCAACACTGCTTGGTCCTTTAATATTTACTTTAATCTAAATTGTCAAATTAATATCAGGAATGGACCATTGAGAATTATGAACTTCATCATCATGAGGACTAATTTGAATTACTAATTGATATTGTTTACAATATGAAGAGGACATATTTACATCCAAATGGTAATAAATCTACACGAAAACCCAAACCCCCGTTGTTAGTCAAATTCGCTGAATACAAGATTTGTCATTTTTTTTGTAATATTTACCAGTGCATGCAGTGATAAATATTAGATCAGTTCTACAAACATTTATGAACATAGAACTTGAATTGTACGTAATAAATTGATATGTGATTTAAGTTACATTTAATGTGATTTTACTAGCTAGCTATGGCCAGAACTATACTGTATGTGTCCTAAAAGGACTGTTATTTTAAAAAGGTGTGAAATATTAATAAACTATAAACATAACTGAGATTTTAACCCACCATAAATCAGGTGCAGTCAAAGAAAAAGGGAGATTTTTCAGGAAAAGAAACTTGTCTGGGTTCATTCCACTTGTAAACTCTTCACAGATCAGAGCTTGAAATGAAGAGACTTGTTTAACCCTGAAACACCCATATTTGACACAACTGATTGGTTTGGTGTTTATGGCTGAATGCGCAGTTACTTGAATTGTTTTTTTTTTTATTAAAATAAACCTGCTCCAACTTCACTCCATTCAGGCTGCACGATTAATTGAAATCATTTGGAATTGCAATATGGCTTAGTGCAAACATCAAATCGCAAAAGCTGTTATGTAATTGAATGAATTTATGTGCTGCATGTTTCAGAGAGAAGCACAGCACTGTGTTCATTTACACATGAGCAGATCACAGTCTGATGTTTTCAGTGTCTCAGAAAGGCTCAGCTGGGAGAACGCAACATGCGTTATGGTTAGGGTTAACCTACCCTAATGCAACAATCTTCCTAAAATTGGAATAAGAAGCTCTTATGAACTAGACGTTGTCAACTAAAGAGAAGCACCTTGTCCGGAAAGTGAAATATTACAAAGTTGTATATCCGTTACCAATGGAGTTCAAAGAAACTTGCGACCATTGTTAAATAATGATGGTTTTGGGAAATGCACACCAGATTAGAGGACTGACTGGTGAATAAATAAAAACATTTATTTATATAATGGTATATTCATAATATTAATTTAATGTTATGTTTTATATATATATATCCTTGGCTGTTGCCTAAATGTGCTGAAACATATTTGGAGTAGTAAAACATTCATGAGTAGTCAAAAAGCTCAGTATAAAGTCCTAACACCCCCTTTTTTTTTTCTTTTTTTTTTTTTGCAGGTCTCCTCTCAAGATGTGAAGAAGGAGAACCCTCTCCAGTTTAAATTCCGTGCCAAGTTCTTCCCAGAAGATGTGGCGGATGAGTTGATCCAGGATATCACTCAAAAGCTGTTCTTCATGCAAGTGAAAGATGCCATTCTGAGTGATGAAATCTACTGTCCTCCAGAGACTGCGGTGCTTCTGGGCTCCTATTCGGTGCAGGCCAAATTTGGTGATTTCAGCAAGGAAGTGCACAGGCCTGGATACCTGACCTCAGATCGCCTCCTGCCCCAACGGTGAGACACACAGGATTGGCTTAACTGGGGCATGTGCTCCGTGAAGTATAGGATTTGAATTCTGCCATCATTGCTCATCAGAATTTGGTTTTGGAGAACAGTTAAAGGTTTAGAACCTTTGGAAATGAGTCTTTGTCCCTCCTGTTGTTTGATTGCAGGGTTCTAGACCAGCACAAGTTGTCACGGGACCAGTGGGAGGAGAGGATTCAGGTGTGGCATGAAGAGCATCGTGGAATGCTCAAGTAAGTTGACAACGTTCTCTCAAAAGTTATTGTTGTAGGATCTTTATAGTTATCGTTCTTGGTGTGAGAATGGGCCTCAATGCTAAATGTAGATTTATCAAATGTATAGAGCTGATTGTAGAAATAAGAAACTAACACTTCTGTCAGCTGGTCAGTCAAGCACATTTATTGACTGATGCCTAATAATTGACTTGCTTGATATATCAGTCTATAGGCCCTGGTGGTTTGACATACAGTATACCATGCAATTATAAATGTCACTTGGCAAGTCCAATGTAAACTGTAGGTTGTTTATGGTTGCTAAAGTCTCAACTTTCCATATTAACATAGAATTAAACTGAAGTGCAGTCACAGGTGTGCCTATATCAGCTGTTTTGTCTAATTTTATCTTGATTTATAGTCAAATTTCATAATAAAAAGGAAATAATAATTTTAGGGTTATTTTAGTATTATTTATATGCTTTTTCAGTATTCATTAATATTTTAGTTTGTTGTATTTATTGATTCATTTAATTATTTATTCATGTATGTATTTAACTCCCTTTTTTTAATTAAGTTGTTAAATCTAATTTATATTTTTTCAATTTTATTTTAATTTTCAAAAAAATTGAATCGCTTTAGTTTTATTTTACACTAGTGCTGTCAAACGATTAATCGCGATTAATTGCATCCAAAATAAGTTTTTGTTTACATTATGTATGTGTACTGTATAAATTTATTGTGTATATACAAATACACACAGTATAAATTTTGAAAATATTTACGTTTATACATTTATATATTCTTATTTTATATTATATATATATATAAATATATTTAATATATTCATAACACATTTTTCTTAAATATATGCATGTTTGTATTTTTATATATATATATAATAAATACACAGTAAACGCACACATATTATGTAAACACAAACTTTTATCGCGATTAATCGTTTGACCGCACTAGTTTACACTAAATTATGTGAAATTAAGTGCTTTTACTATTTAATTTACTGGATTATGTCATTCTAAGCTATACCGTATGATTATGTAATATGTAATATATATTATATAATGTGTAAAACCCTAGTTATGACTACATTGTGATGTACTATTACTACCATTAAAAAAAAAACTTATACTATGCTAAAAGATTTTGGTCACATCATTCACCAGCCTATTAGAAACTGAAAGTGATTATTCTCTGTTCTTAGAGAGGACGCAATGCTTGAGTACCTGAAGATTGCTCAGGATCTGGAAATGTATGGAGTGAACTACTTTGACATCAAGAACAAGAAGGGAACGGAGCTGAGGCTGGGTGTGGATGCCCTGGGCCTAAATATCTATGAGAAAGAAGACAAGTGAGTTCAGCCTTTCCCTACATTCATTTGACATTATCCACATCTCAAGTGCTATTTCAACTCCAACGTGTTTTTCTCTTCTTTTAAATGCATTGTGGCAGTACTAAGGTAAAATAATGGTATACGATTGTAATCCTAATATGTACTGTATAATTGTTTTTGGGGGGGGGTTTCCCAAATTGCGTGTGTTGTGATTTAGTTTGGTTTGAGGACATTGTTCACAGGTGCTCGTCTTTCCACAAACAGAGATCTCTCTCTGTGTGTGTGTGTGTGTGTGTGCGCACAGTGGCTTTTTAATGGCTTTTTCCCCACAATGCCCTCTATTTTAACCATAGCAACAAAGACTGGTTTTTCAAGCTATGTGGTAAAATAATGGTATACGATTGTAATCCTAATATGTACTGTATAATTGTTTTTGGGGGGGGGTTTTCCCAAATTGCGTGTGTTGTGATTTAGTTTGGTTTGAGGACATTGTTCACAGGTGCTCGTCTTTCCACAAACAGAGATCTCTCTCTGTGTGTGTGTGTGTGTGTGTGCGCACAGTGGCTTTTTAATGGCTTTTTCCCCACAATGCCCTCTATTTTAACCATAGCAACAAAGACTGGTTTTTCAAGCTATGTAGTCCTTGAAAGCATTGGGCAAGGATTGTGTATGTGACCGAGAGAAGGCTTTGCAAGTACACACATGTAAAGATAAGAAAACCATGTTGCACAACAACCTGTGAAATAGTTCACATTCGTTGGATCTTCGTTTGCATTGTTGCGTTAGCTGTGCTCGTTCTGCTGAGTGGCCCATATCCTTCGCATTTGTTTCAGATGAACTGTCTTAACTAACCAACATGCCAGTCTCCAAAAGCATGTAGTCATAGTTTAACACTGAACGCTATGAGAAGTGAAAATGTAATAGTCAATGCCAAAATGCAGTACAAAGTGTTTGTTTACTTTCTTTCTTTTTCCATTATCCCCGTCAAACCAATGTTAGAACAGTAAATACTTGAAGAAAGAACAAACAAGATTTGTAGAATCCTAATCTTTAAAAAAGCATTACCATTCTTATTATTAGATAATTGGGTAAGACTTTATTTTGCAGTGTCCTTGTTGCACATTTTACATGTACTTTCTATAGTAATAACAGTAAATTATGCATAATTACAAGCAACTAACCATAAACCGGACCTAATCCTATATAGTAAGTACATGTTGTTAATTACTATTACTCCGCACTCATCTGTGTAATTGCAGTATAACAGGGACACCTTAAAATAAACCTATAATTGTTTAATAATATAAAATGTATTTTTATTCTAATATAATTGAGCATTTTCCTTAATTTAAAAGGTAGAATAATCTATAAAAAATGTTGTATGCCTTCTGTCCACAAGAGGAAAACCGAAGCAAGCATGTTTTAGCAGCTCTGTTCCACCTAGACCAAGTCACACAACAATCTTACTGGAGCTCTATTCCCATCAGAGCCAATCAAAGCCTAGCAAGAGACATTTTATAGGCCAAATGTACAATCATAGCACTACGAGGACAAAAACTATGGCCTCTTTAAAATAATATAAATGCTATAAAATATATGATAGGAAAAATGAAACTGTCAAGAGTCGTGTTGTATTGTATTGCATTGTATAGAATACATCTTCATTATCAACCATGATTGTCTTTGACCACACCAGCGATATACCAGACACGTATCACAAAACACAGATAAAAATCATCATGCTAACCTTTTGATGAATAAATCCTCTTTTGCTATACTGCCATACCATAAAATGTACCACCAAAATGCCATAGTTGCAAATATAAAACATTAAAACATGGAATCTCAATGGAAAAGGATTTTCAATTGTTATTATTAATAGTAGTAGTGGTAGTACATTTAAACTCAATATTTGCTTCAATTGTTTAAATGGTAGAACTTCACAATAAGATCACATTAGTTAACTGCATTAGTTAAACTAACAATGGCTACGTTTACATGCAACCAAATAATCCATTTGTAATCGGATTGACGGCTCAATCGGACTGAAAAGCCTTCATGTAAACCCCTTAATCGATCGGATTGAAGCGGGTGGTTTATTCTTTTTCTAATACGATTGAGAGTCAATGTAAACACTCGATCGGATTGAACCCCGAAACCGAAAGCACTGCGCACGTGCAATGATGCAGAAATAGCGTAATGACGTATGATTCACGGAACGAGCGGTTCTTCCTTTTGAATAAAGTGTTGTATAAATGAGTGTCCTGTCATTATAAAACTCTCCTTTCACTCGGCAACTGTGAAGTGGAGCAGGACAACCTCCCCCAGTCCTTGTTTTGGATTCTCATCCACAGGCAACCCGGTTTGGGTGTGGGGAGGGGCTTTTTTACTGCGTGATAAATATGAGCAGCACGGCACAGCGGTTTATATGTATATTTATCCATTAATAAATATTAATTCTGCTGTTAAAAACAAAGAAACCATGTAGGAGAGTGGTTATTATGTGCAAACCGTGAGAAACTCTATATTTGTGCAATGTGTGCATATATATATAAAAAAAAAAACATTCAGATTTGAAGCTTGTGACATATAAACGCGCACATCAACCCGATCACTTTATTTAGCGTTCATGTAAACACTACATTCAGATTTATCAATCAGAATGAATTCAGTCCGATTGAACCAAAAATTAGCATGTAAACGTAGCCAATGAAAAATACTTCTAAAGCATTTATTCATCTATGTCAGTTTCAACATTTACTGATACATTATTCAAATCAAAAGTTGTATCTGTGGACAATATTTAATGGAAAGTAGTTCACAATGAATGAATGTGATGAATGAATGTGAAGATGAATTAATACTTTAACAAAGGTACTGCTCATTGCTAATGCAATAACCAATGTTATCTAATGTGGCCTTATTGTAAAGTGTTGCTGTTAAAATATGGTTAGCGTTATGAATTTCTTTTTTTTTTGTAAAGATTATTTAATAAAAATAAAAAAGAACAATTGAATGAGTTACAATGTTACATACCATTTTTATTACCATCATTAATTATTTTAACCATTTGGTTTTAGGGAACGTTTGTGGTGTGTCATGCGAGGTGGGCCGCGGTAGCTTTGTGTTCTCTCAGCTACGCACCGAGACGGTGTGACATGCACGTTAGAAGGCGTAGTTGTAACGCCACTCCCATGAGCTCCACAAAGAGATCACACGGCACACTCCTCACTGCGACGAAGTCATCCGCTCACGTTAATCACAGGCCCGTCCTTGTCTTCACATTCCTCGACCATCATGCCTGTGCTATAACATTCTCACTGCATTACAAACCCATCTCGGTGCTAATATTTAGATTTTTGCTCGATCAGCAACCAGAGATCTGATCGTTGTCATCCACATTTTTTCAAATAGGATTTTCATGTTTCATCCACCCTACAGTGTTTGTCTTGCGTGACTGTATGTTTGGAATGAATATAGAACACTTATCATTGTTTCATCATTGTCTTTACAGACTCACTCCGAAAATTGGATTCCCCTGGAGCGAAATAAGAAACATTTCCTTCAACGATAAGAAGTTTGCCATCAAGCCCATAGATAAAAAAGCTCCAGTAAGTGAAACTATGATTGCGACACGAGCTGCCGTCATACCTCACAGTCCCACCTGAAACTGAAAAACTGCCTCGGCGAGAATAAAACGTGTTTTATTCCACTCTAATATACGATCATTTTATGTCACACTAACGTTAGAACATCTAGGATTACATTTTGGATACAAAATCTAGTAATCATTTTGAAAAGGCTGGCCAATTTTGACTGGGAACAACAAATTAGATTAAGGATTTTCAGCATAACACTATTATAAATACTATTAGAGTGTATAAATAATACTGGAACGACACTGCAATGTGACACTCAAAAAACCTTGAAAAGATGCTCTCTAGGGATGCTTCAGCTTTGTTTTGAGACACAAACACTGTAACGTCTGCAGGTTCACAGTTAAGAGTCATTAGTTTTAGCATGGCTGTTTTGGCTGATAAACACCAGCAGTCAGTCTCCTCTTGACAGTCTGGCCTTCATAGAGCGTTATCTCTGAGCGTCAGAGCCGGCTGCTCAGAACAACAGCTTTCTGTAGGGTTTACATTATCACAGGACTTTATTAAATAAATACACAGTTAGTAATCTGATCAAAGATCCATAAATTGACTGATTTGTAACCCCTGCATTTACATCCTGTCTCTTTCTTCTTAACCCTGCAGGATTTTGTGTTTTACGCCCCGCGGTTGCGCATTAATAAACGTATCCTACAGCTGTGTATGGGGAACCATGAGCTTTACATGCGCCGCAGGAAGCCGGACACCATCGAGGTGCAGCAGATGAAAGCACAGGCTCGAGAGGAGAAACAACACAAACAGATGGAGAGGTGAGGATGAATCACCATGGTGATGTGAGGAGTGATGCTGTCTCATCAGCAGATGCTGCGGTACATAAAAGAGGCCATATTCTACATTTGTGTAGTCTCTTATTTCATAACTAGAAACTTTGGCTTGGCAAAGCCTTAAATTTTTATTTTATTAGTTTTTTGTTCTGTTTTGTTTGTTTGACCATATTTTACACTTAGCATCTTATTTCACAGAAACTTTGGCTTGGCAAAGCCCGTTTCATAAAACAAGTTTACCAAATAAGCCTGGCATATTTCAGTTAGTCTGACTTATTTTGTACCAAATCAACTGACAGTAAGTCAGACTAACTGAAATAAACCTGGGGGCTGTTTCATAAAAGAGGCTAAGAGAAGCGGGGATTAAAGTCCAAAACCTGGCTTGAAATAACTTCGCAAATCAATCGGGACTAAAGCAGTTTCATAAACGACACTAAGTTCACGCAATCGCACTAATTCGATCCAGGTTCAATGAGTCAGGATCATTTGACGTGCACGCTTATTCTTAAGCTGCTCTTAATGTCGATCATGGATCAAATCGATCCACCATGACAAACAGCGAATATATCTGTGCTGTTTAATGCATTTGAGACGTTGTGTTTTCCTCAGTGCATAGCTGACATGTCACAGGTATATTTTTCATCCGTAAATGGTAGAAAGTCATGCAAATATATCCATTTTGCTGTGGCTGATAAACACCAGCAGTCAGTCTCCTCTTGACAGTCTGGCCTTCATAGAGCGTTATCTCTGAGCGTCAGAGCCGGCTGCTCAGAACAACAGCTTTCTGTAGGGTTTACATTTACATTATCACAGGACTTTATTAAATAAATACACCGTTAGTAATCTGATCAAAGATCCATAAATTGACTGATTTGTAACCCCTGCATTTACATCCTGTCTCTTTCTTCTTAACCCTGCAGGATTTTGTGTTTTACGCCCCGCGGTTGCGCATTAATAAACGTATCCTACAGCTGTGTATGGGGAACCATGAGCTTTACATGCGCCGCAGGAAGCCGGACACCATCGAGGTGCAGCAGATGAAAGCACAGGCTCGAGAGGAGAAACAACACAAACAGATGGAGAGGTGAGGATGAATCACCATGGTGATGTGAGGAGTGATGCTGTCTCATCAGCAGATGCTGCGGTACATAAAAGAGGCCATATTCTACATTTGTGTAGTCTCTTATTTCATAACTAGAAACTTTGGCTTGGCAAAGCCTTAAATTTTTATTTTATTAGTTTTTTGTTCTGTTTTGTTTGTTTGACCATATTTTACACTTAGCATCTTATTTCACAGAAACTTTGGCTTGGCAAAGCCCGTTTCATAAAACAAGTTTACCAAATAAGCCTGGCATATTTCAGTTAGTCTGACTTATTTTGTACCAAATCAACTGACAGTAAGTCAGACTAACTGAAATAAACCTGGGGGCTGTTTCATAAAAGAGGCTAAGAGAAGCGGGGATTAAAGTCCAAAACCTGGCTTGAAATAACTTCGCAAATCAATCGGGACTAAAGCAGTTTCATAAACGACACTAAGTTCACGCAATCGCACTAATTCGATCCAGGTTCAATGAGTCAGGATCATTTGACGTGCACGCTTATTCTTAAGCTGCTCTTAATGTCGATCATGGATCAAATCGATCCACCATGACAAACAGCGAATATATCTGTGCTGTTTAATGCATTTGAGACGTTGTGTTTTCCTCAGTGCATAGCTGACATGTCACAGGTATATTTTTCATCCGTAAATGGTAGAAAGTCATGCAAATATATCCATTTTGCTGTCAGGAGTGGACGAGGCTTAGGCGAGTGAACGAGTTCGGCTGAGCGCATGCACGCTATGCAGACGGCGCAGAATAGAATAATAGTGCAATAATTCTGAATAAAATATACATTCTGCTAAAATATTTGTTGTTTGGCATTAAATGTGACACAAGTAGAATTTTAATCCTATATATAAGTGTATTTTTATGATCGCAGTAACTGTAAATCAAATGTAAGCTGGCTAATACAGCCCTACTAGCACAAATGAGTTAAATGTCTTTTCCTCTTATCAGTTAAAATGTAGTCTGATTTCTATTTATTTTCATTTTTAATTCAGTGGTTTTAATTTAGTGTTTTTAATGCTTTAAAGAGCAATTTTAGATTGTAATGTTTTAATAAAGGCACAGCTGTCATAAAATCAGAGAGAAAGGCTGCATGGCTCGAAACTGCTGATCAACTGAATGCGCATGTAGCAACTGTGTTAAAATGTTTTCATATCTTAAAGTTCATTGCACTTTGGACACAAGACATTAAATACAGTTGGTTGTAGCCTATATATTTTTTATTTATTAGATTATTTAAGTTGCATTTTCTGTGTAGCTACTTTTATTTTTGGACTAATAATAAAGTCAACTAATTGTATGTGAGCGAGTCAGTGGTAATATCGATGTGTTCATATTGGTCAGTATTTGAGGAGCTGAGCTTCTAACAGTTAGTCTGCTCCTGACCAGGTTAGTTTCTTGGCATAAGTTGCCACAGTGACTGAGCTTGAGCTATGGTAATTTTGCTTTCGGAAACCAAATCAAGTGACGATAAGTCAGAATAACTGAAATAAGCCTGGCTTATTTGGTAAACTAGTTTTATGAAACCGGTCCCTGGTATGAAGTTTAGTTTAGTAAACTAGAATCTTTTGCTTGGCAAAGCCTGGTATTAATTGAATTGAATTTATTATTTATAATATTTATTTTAGTTTATTTTGATGTTTTCTTTTTGTTTTGTTCATTTGTTTTGACTATTCTACGCTTTATTTTATTGTATTTTATCTTTATGCTTTTCTTTTTGTTTTGTTTATTTGACCATATTCTACACTTAGCATCTTATTTCACAGAAGCTTTAGCTTGGCAAACCCTGGTATGAATTTAGTTGTTAATTTTTGTAATATTTATTTTGTGTTGTTTTTTTTTGTTTGTTTGTTTTTGTTTTGCCTTTAGTCAACTCCAGTTACTTTGTTGCTGCAAATTACTTTCCAAATGGCTGGCATTTAAACAGTTTTATATATAAATGATCTCTGTTGTGATTGGCTGATCAAAGTTCATGTTGCTGCTGATCAGGGTGGGCCAAGATACTGAATAGACATTGATATGTAAACATGAGTGGTCCTGTCAATCTGCTCATGGTTGTAACATCAAGAAACCATAACGATTTCTGAACAAGCTGTTTTTTGCAGCTGTTCAAGGAACTATGACCACCTTGGGAAGGTCGGTATGAGAGATGAGTTTTGTGTGTGGGTATAGAGCGGCGTTCTGAGCAAACGTCACTGTACTTCTCTTTGGTTGTGTCTTATCTGCAGAGCTCAGCTGGAGAGTGAGAAGAAGAGACGAGAGGCCATAGAGAGAGAGAAAGAGCAGATGGAGAGGGAGAAACAAGAGCTGATGATGCGACTGTACCAGTTTGAGGAGAAGACCAAAAAAGCGGAAAAAGGTAAGAAGCCAGGATCCAGCGTGTTTGTTTTTATTTGGAAAAAATATCATAAGAAAAAAAAATGTTTTTGATTTCAAATGTTTTCATGTCTAATGCAAGATGATTGTATTTATTGACTGCATTCATGTAAGCAAATAAAACGATCAACATTTGAATTGTTTTGACTGAGGAAAATGTAAAGCGTAATCTGATTTTATTTTAGAAAAGGCATGTCATTTTAAAGGTCAGTATTTAGTTTTATTAAACAACACAATATGGATTATAGTTTTTAAAATCTAACAATCATTGTGACTGTTGTTTTGCTTGTTGTTGTGCCGTGAGTCCGTATGGAAAATTTGACTCATAATTGGAGACGTCAAGCCAAATACAGTCACTTTGGTCTTTTGAGTTTATGTAACCTTTTAGCTTGTTATTCTATAAAGCGGAGACATTATACTTTGATCATGACTGTGCTCCAGCTGACAATACCATTGACTGGCAATACAAACACAAGATGGTGTCATACTGCACCTGTTACTCGGTTTCTGCTGTTCGCATGTCATATTTCTTTTGTGTTTGCCATAAAGCTTGCCTTTCTAATATTCAGTATAAGACTACATTATTAGACAAGGAATTTTTCATTCAGAAATTAGTAATATGTGAACACCGTAATCTGTGTGTTATTCTGGATTAAATAATGTTACTGAATCTTGTGGCCATGCATGCTAAAACCATCAGCCATCTCTGACTATGACATCTTTGAATGTCCGTTAATGAGCTCTGTCACAATATGACACAGTACTTCTGCCTTTTTCGTCAGGTTAAAGGAAAATTGTTATTTTGTGCTCATTTGTATGTCTTTTTGGACCTATATGACTTTCTTTCATGGAATTATATGTAGCAGCAAGTCCAAGCTTCTCTTATACATAAAATGAAAGTGAATGGTGTCCACCGCTGTCAAACAAGAGTTCAGTGAATATCAACTGTTCGACACAGAAAGCTATTGTACAGCCTCACATATTTTGGAATATAGTGCATGAATCATAAGTACTTTAATCATGCTTCAGTGGGTCTTTCTGGAGATTGACAGCCCTTGGTTCCCATCAACTTTCATTGTATGGAGGGGGAAAAAAACACCATGAACATTTACTAAAATTCTCTCTTGGTGTTCCATGAAATAAAGGCCATACAGTGTTTGGAATGACACGAGTAAATGCTGACAGATTTTTGGGTTAACTATCCCTTCAAAGTAGAATAGCCTACAAGGACTAAAACTTCTTTGCTAAAGCAAAAGTGCTCAAACATAACTTGGTCACAACTGTCTTGTATCAGACCAGAAATATTTTGATTAAAGGGGTCATCAACTGCCTTTTTTATTATTTTGCACTGTTTTCTGAGGTCCCCTTATAATGTTATCAAGATTTTTACACCAAAAAAAACACAATTTAGAAGTAATAGGCTATTTTCTGTCCTGTTTTTAACCCCCTCATCAGAACGCTCTGTTTGAATAGGCCTGGCGGATTGTAGACTCAGAAGTAAACACCCACTGCTCTGATTGGATAACAGTTGTGTATGTTTGACAGCCTTCATCCTTCACAGATGCACGCTGCTGTGATTTTAGGTTAAAAACGCATAAAAAAAAATTACATATCAAATTATATGTACTAATAGACAACGCAATGGTGATCACGTAATAAAAACAGTTACTCACACTTGTGTGGTGCGACATTGCTGTCAGGTCCAATATATTCGGCACAGCATCGTCTTAGTTTCAATCTTTCTGAAAATCCCCCACCGAATTGTGCCTTCAGAGCCATCTTTATCATTTGGTTTCTGCGTAGACCTGCGTCAAACTCTCTTGTTATTTACACTACATGTGGGAATTGGTGGGCGGGGCTAAACAGGCAGCGATGTAGAAGCAGGCGTTTATCTTCTGTGGAGGTGGAGTTTAGCCACACTATTACATCATAGAGTGGCGCATTCCACAACTCGTCCTTTTGGCAGACTGGCTTCATTATAAGCGTTTTTTAAACTAACGAAAAGGTGTTGAATTCTGAAACTTACAGTACAGAAACGTTTTATAGTACAATGACCTCTTATGTGTCAAAAGATCACGGGAATTTTGGTTTCTTAGTTCATGACCCTTTTAACATCCCAGATCTGTAACTGTTAGAGCATCACCATCCACAGCGAGGCCCAGACCCCTACTTGAAATGTAATGATGGTTGCACTTTAAATTAATTTTAAATCTGGATGCGTGTTTTCAGACCTGCAGGAGCAAATGCAGAGGGCCATGCAGCTGGAGAGTGAACGGAGGCTGGCAGAGGAGGAGGCAGCCAGATTGGAGGCAGAAAGGCAGGCAGCACTGCTCGCAAAGGAGGAACTGGCCCGTCAAGCCCAGAATCAGCTGACGAGTCAAGAACAGCTGGTGAGATCCCAACACTCTTTCTCTGAAAAATTACTTTGTCTATAATTTTTTCCCCCCATTAACAATCCTCCCCATTCATCTCTTTCAGGCTGCTGAGCTGGCAGAACATACTGCTCGTATTGCACTCCTGGAGGAAGCCAAAAAACGCAAGGAGGAGGAAGCCATGACATGGCAGCACAGAGTAAGACCGTTAAGACATAAACCCTGTCACCTTTTTCACCCCTGATGAGTTTGCATTCCTGCAAATTTGTCCAAAAGCTGTCTGTACATCCATAGCTGTAGTGCACTCTTAAGTTCTTCAAGAACTGGATTGGTAGTCTTATATTTGTGGTGTTGGATTGCGTTCTTCCAGGCACAAGAGGCCCAAGATGACCTGGTGAAGACCCGTGAGGAGCTTCACATGGTGATGACGGCGCCGCCTCTCCCTCCACCACCACCTGCATATGAACCTGATGAGAATGAGTACGAAGATGGCGAGAGCAACAGTAGCTACAGTGCAGACCTGCAGACAGGCGGTATCAATGACCACCGCTACGAAGAACAGCGGATCACTGAGGCCGAGAAGAATGAACGAGTTCAGAAACAGCTGTTGGTAAGTATAACATTGCAGGAGCAACTGGATGAACTTTCCTAGGCTCCAGGATTAGAGCCTAAAGCCCGAAACACACTGCACAATTTTAGCAATCCTATAAGATCACTGCATGTCACACTGTGCGACATGGACTTAATAAACTCGGCTACGATGTGTGTGTAGACCGTACGATGAGGACACCTGTTGACTTGTACGATATGACGATACGACGTTACTATAGAAAAATAAAACGTCATCAGCATGCGCTAGTGGTAAAAAGACCATGATAAAAAAGTACAACTGCTAAGGTGTGATTTATGTGTGCTGAAAAAAAGTGGAAGCGGCGAAAGAGGAAGGGATAAGAGCTTGAGGCAAGCAGTTTTATGTTTTAGCGCCATGTCGCATTGATTTCATGTCGCATTTTTATTGGTTGGTCAGTAAACTTGGATCGTAGCAGCAAACACACAGTGCTATGATCATGCTGCAACGTGGGCTGTATCGCAAGACCAAAGATGAACAGCCGTCTTTGAACCTTTCTCATTGTACGACACAGGACAAAATATAATTTTAATTAGTTTCGGGTTGTAATAAGTGGTACTTTTTCTCCCCCTTTTTCTTATTAATGATCCACTCAGCGCACGGCTTGGCAGTATGATTCATTTTATGTTTTGTCTGATATTAAAACTCTTTAATTCATGTTGAATATGGCTTTTGCCAGAATATTTGTTATAGTGTTTATTTATTCAGTCTTTGGGTTAAGGTAGATGCGCTTTTCTTATTTACTAATGACAGTGCAGATTAATTTGTTTATTGAATTCTGTACTGACCTGTCACGATTCCTTTTTTTGAAGAGATTAATATTGTAAGTTATACTTTTATTTATATATATATATTGCATGTTAAATCCTTAAATTTCCTACATTAGATACAAACTGATTTTTTTTTTATGACTTTGAACTAGTTTCTGAGTGTTTATTGCCATGACAGTGGGATGAAGGAAGATTTATTTAATAGACTTTTGTAATCTCAGTAGGTATCTACATTTTTTGATATATTGAGATTTTGATATATGCTGTGTTGGTGGATCTGTGAGCAGAGTTTCTCACGGACTTGCTAGCAGCTCTTTATATTTTAATTAACACTATTACAAATGGCACAAATCAGGTAGTGTTAAGACACCTTTACTCCGCTGGTGGGACCAAATGTAAAATATATCCAACAGAAGAATGGAGTTTTTTGAGTGACATACAAATGGGCGAATATGACAATTTAGTCAATTGTTTCTGTGATGCCTGTAACCATGTGGTGCCACTTTCATCAAAATAGAATGGTTCTTTGGGTTAAGGTAGATGTGCTTTTCTTATTTACTAATGACAGTGCAGATTAATTTGTTTATTGAATTCTGTACTGACCTGTCACGATTCCTTTTTTTGAAGAGATTAATATTGTAAGTTATACTTTTATTTATATATATATATATATTGCATGTTAAATCCTTAAATTTCCTACATTAGATACAAACTGATTTTTTTTATGACTTTGAACTAGTTTCTGAGTGTTTATTGCCATGACAGTGGGATGAAGGAAGATTTGTTTAATAGACTTTTGTAATCTCAGTAAGTATCTACATTTTTTGATATATTGAGATTTTGATATATGCTGTGTTGGTGGATCTGTGAGCAAAGTTTCTCACAGACTTGCTAGCAGCTCTTTATATTTTAATTAACACTATTACAAATGGCACAAATCAGGTAGTGTTAAGACACCTTTACTCCGCTGGTGGGACCAAATGTAAAATATATCCAACAGAAGAATGGAGTTTTTTGAGTGACATACAAATGGGCGAATATGACAATTTAGTCAATTGTTTCTGTGATGCCTGTAACCATGTGGTGCCACTTTCATCAAAATAGAATGGTATTTTTGTTAGTTTTTTTTTGGTTTTTGTACATAGGCTGAAAGTCTTAAATGTATTTGTTTTCTCCAAATGATCCTTACAGTTAATTCATTCTTGATTTTCCACCATCAAAATCAGCTGTTTTAATCACTCGCAGCACTTTGAGAGCTTGTGTTTAAAATATTGCTCGATATCATCCATACACAAATAAGCTTTTCGCACTACACACTACCAACCAGTGGCAGACGAGGAGTGTTTTTTCAAAATAGAATGGTGTTTTTGTTTTTGTTTTTTTTTGGTTTTTGTACATAGGCTGAAAGTCTTAAATGTATTTGTTTTCTCCAAATGATCCTTACAGTTAATTCATTCTTGATTTTCCACCATCAAAATCAGCTGTTTTAATCACTCGCAGCACTTTGAGCGCTTGTGTTTAAAATATTGCTTGATATCATCCATACACAAATAAGCTTTTCGCACTACACACTACCAACCAGTGGCAGACGAGGTTAACATGTTAACATTAAATTACAGCTTAGCAAAAAATTAGGCATCACAACTATAATTTGTAGTAAAATCTAATATCTTATGCCTAGTTTTGCGACCATAACATTGTTCTTTATATAAGTGTATTGGAACTACTTCAGACATGGGGACTAACAGACTTACACACAGTTGTCCACTCACCCTTCAATGTAAGCTGTTTTCGACAGAAAGCGCAGCTTCGACACGTCAGTGATGATGACTTTGAGCTGTCCAGCTGCTCCAATCAAAAGGTCTGTAGAGATTGAGTAATTACACTTATGTATTTATTCTGAAATAGGCCTAATATACGTTTAAATACATTTGAACTTGCATTTATAATGAGCAATTAATATAGAACAAAGCCCAGAAAAGACAGTCTTTGACTCATTCATAGTCCTATTCTGGGCTGGCTGACAGTGTGTAATGGAGTGCTAGTCTCATACCGGCTGTATGTGGGTAAATCTGTGGCAGGAATTGGAACTGAGCTTTAAGCAGCAGCTCGACGTCGCCACCTAGTGGATGACCCTGCTATGAAAGAACAAGCTCAGCAGATATACCTCAGAACATGAGCAGATGTATGCAATTTTAGAATTGTTTTTATTCAACTTGCCCAGTAAAAAGCACTTGAAGAGAGCAGATAATTTCATAATGTTCTAATGCGGTCAGTCCAGTCTGACTGATCTTACCTTTGGACCGAGTGCGTAGCAGACAGAGCGCTGAGTGTCTGTGCTCTCCAGACACAAGTCAGCCAGACGGATGAGTGTCTCTCCCAGAAAGAGCTTCCGCTTGAGTCCCCTGCAGTGCCACACTGACACCTGAACTACACTGCTGCCCAGCTGCTCAGCAGCAACCACACACTGCAAACACACACCAAACAGTTCAGCACACAAAAACCTCAAAATACTATCATACTTTCAATGCATTTCTATCTGTGCAAATTTAAAATAAATTGAATAAATAAATAAATAGTACTTTAAAATAAATACAGCTGAATTCAATTTAAAATGACTTAATACACACTAAAAAAATGTAATGTCACAATTAAAAATAAATAAACAACAACAACAACAATAATAATAAAGCTTCTGCTTTTCTTATAAATTTGAGTTATAATGCCACAACAAGACAAGACATTTAGGGCAAAGGGACACTTCAACAAAGCAAAACAAAGCATAGCAAAACAAAGCATAGCAAAACAAAGCAAAACAAAGCAAAACAAAACAAAGCAAAACAAAGCATAGCAAAACAAAACAAAACAAAGCAAAGCAAAGCAAAACAAAACAAAGCAAAACAAAGCAAAACAAAGCATAGCAAAACAAAGCAAAGCAAAGCAAAACAAAACAAAACAAAGCAAAACAAAGCAAAGCAAAACAAAGCATAGCAAAACAAAGCAAAACAAAGCATAGCAAAACAAAACAAAACAAAGCAAAACAAAACAAAGCAAAACAAAGCAAAGCAAAACAAAGCAAAACAAAGCAAAACAAAGCAAAGCAAAACAAAGCAAAGCAAAACAAAGCAAAACAAAGCATAGCAAAACAAAACAAAACAAAGCAAAACAAAACAAAGCAAAACAAAACAAAGCAAAACAAAGCAAAACAAAACATAGCAAAACAAAGCAAAACAAAGCAAAACAAAGCAAAACAAAAGAAAGCAAAGCAAAGCAAAACAAAACAAAGCAAAACAAAACAAAGCAAAGCAAAGCAAAGCAAAACAAAACAAAGCAAAACAAAACAAAACAAAACAAAACAAAACAAAGCAAAACAAAGCAAAGCAAAACAAAACAAAACAAAGCAAAGCAAAACAAAGCAAAGCAAAACAAAACAAAGCAAAGCAAAACAAAACAAAAACAAAACAAAGCAGAAATAATAATTAAATTGAATTATTAAAATCCATTAAACTACAGTATTCCGATGATTATTAAAGGTTAGACTGTTTTTTTACACTTTGCTGTAAAGTCTGGTTTTGGTTTCAGTGTCTGGTTGTAAACATTCATTGTGTGATTGTGGAATCTCAAATCATTTTTATAGGTTGTGAGAGCAATAACAAATAATATTTTGCTCACTCAGTATCAGTATCTTGTACTCAGCATCTGTTTGTTTTTGTTTTCTTATTTCAAAATGTAATTTATTGACTCACTACTAATGTTTGCTTATCTCACCACTTTAATGTACGCTTTCATTGCAGGGTTATTATAGATAACTAAAATTAGAATGAAGAAACTAAACAAAGTAACTTGAAATAAAATAAATATGAACTGAAATGAAATAACATAAAAACCTTAAACTTACTTTATTTCACATTGCTCTCGTTGTCTCATTTTCATTTAGTTTAACTTGACTAAAACTAAAATAATGAAAATAACGAAAACTAAAACAAAATAAATAATAAAAACTGTATTGGCATATTACAGTTTTTTACACAAAATCTTTACTTGTCACACAATTTCTAAAACCTGACACTCAAACACCAGAACCACACACCAAATCTGCAAAGCCAAACGTTAATCCTCAGCCTTTTCAATTTCATAGAACACTTTTTGCACAACACAACACACAATTCTCTATGCAACACACAAAAATCTAACAGGAATTAATATTATGGCAAAGGTGTTTGCAAATGATTGTTTTTGAGATGTGTTTGTGATATTTTGCATGCAGTGTTTCATTTTGCAAGAGATGTGAGGCATTCTGCATTTTGTGTGTGCAATTCTTGGATTTGTGTGTAAAGTTTCTTTTGTTTTTTTTTAAAGGCAGAGTTTTGAAAATGTGTGTAAGCAGTTAAGAAAATATACAACAAAATAACTGAAACGAACTAAAATGAAATTGGAAAAAAATTCTAAATAACAACAACAACAACTATACAACTTTTAGTATCTCAGTGATACTAAAATAACACTTTAATTTTATTTTTTTAAACAGTGTTTACCAGTAAATTCTGGTTGTAAATACTCACAGTAAAGGTTTCATTGTAAACCGGGTTATTTCCCCTCTTGACTGCTGTCTTCATCTTATAATCATGGTATTTCTTTGGAAGCAAACAGACCTTTACATACCTGTTTGTTCAAAAAGAAACTATTTCTTACTAGGCCAACTGTATATGAGCCAAATACGTTACAGAAACAATGTTCTGCTAACATTGTTCAATCTGTAATACACAGCAAACATGCACTCCATCAAAACAACTTACGGATGACATTTCTTCTTCATATCTCCAAACATCAGATTTTTGCAGGCTTTGATAGTTATCTCCAAACAGGATGTCCTGTTGTTGTAACCGAAGGCAACCTCTACTTCTCCGGTCACACTAGTGTTTTCAAAGATCCCACAATCCATTCCTGTGCTACTGTTGCTGTCCTGTACAAAACATGTTGTTGAATGAATTCCTATTTATTAACATTACACTTTTTTATGTTGATGTTCAAAGTCCTGAGAGAGAATTCATACACAATATCACAACTCATCCCCATGAGCCTGTAAGCGCTATCTAATATCTTTCTTTTGCAAAACGTTATCTTGCAGAATTTTGCAGACCTTAGGTAGTTTGCTTCCTGAGAGATCTGCACTCATCAGTTATCTGATCAAACAGGATTAAATATGGTGTGAATACATACCCTCTGCTCATCGCTGTATGCAGATGTATATGAAGCGTCGTCATCTGTCAGGTAAAGAGTACTTGTTGAAGCATACTGCTCTGTGCCTCTGCTGTTCTGGGATAGATTGGGAAGACTTGGTGCTTTGCACAGCTGTGAGGAGACAAAATCAATCAGGACATCACATTCATGTCAATTGTTTAGTCAATCTCATTCTTAGTTCAAATTAACCTTCAAACGTACACAGAAAAACAGTGATTCTCACAAAGGTTTGATTATTAGGGGGTCACAACAAACTCCCAGAGGGCCTCAAGATGACTTGAAATGATTTAAATTAAGACAAAACAACTGAAAGTTAAGATAGTTCTTATTTTAATTCAGTTTTTGTCTTTGAAGAACCAGGATTTCCACAGTTTTTGAAAGTATTTGAGGAAGCCTCATTTTAAAAAACGTAAAATTAACGGTAAAAAAACGAAAGCTGTGGTTGCCGGAATATTACAGCAGGTGGTGATGAGAAAGTCACACGATGAACCAAAGCCCATCACAAGCAGCTTTTAAATAATAACATATATAGAAGGTGCACAGTGTCATTCACACAAACACTAAACACCATCATGGTGACACACATGATTCTGAAATAATGCAATAAACATTAATTTAACAACATTAGGTGTGACACACAACCCTAATATACAAAACTGATAAGAAAAAAATAAGAAGAAACATAGTTATTTCAACAACAAAAAAACATTTTAAAAAAAATTCCATTTCAAAATGGAATTCTGGGAATGTCAAGTTACGGTTATTCACTGTAAATTATACGGTCTTTTTCACTTCCAAAAACAGTATACTACTGTAAAATTAATGTCCAATACATGTAATGTCCAATACAGTTTTTCACCGTATATAGTAGGGGAATTTACCGTTAACCATTTAATAGGTTTTTACTGTAGCATTTTTACAGTCTTTTACCGTTAAATTCACAGTAATTTTTTACAGTGTAGAAAACTTACAATTTAATGGCCTTTTTTTTTTATAATAAATATAAATTTTTCTACTTTTGAAATATTGGTAACACTTCACAATAAGGTTTCGTTTTTATTAATTAATGTTTATTTTGAATTGTATTACTAGGTGTATCTTTTAATGTTATTTAATGAACCGGAGCATGGACTAACATTGTGTTAATTAACATTTATTGTAATAAATGTGCTGCTCAATTCGTGGAAGTCGGGGGAAGTCGTGGCCTAATGGTTAGAGAGTCGGACTCGTAACCCAAAGGTTGTGGGTTCGAGTCTCGTACCGGCAGGGATTGTAGGGGGGGGGGGGGAATGTACAGCGTTCTCTCCCACCTTCAATACCATGTAGGCACCGAACCCACCAACTGTTGGAAAAAAAAAAAACTCCGGGTGTGTGTTCACTGCTGTGTGTGTGCACTTTGGATGGGATAAATGCAGAGCACTAATTCCGAGTATGGGTCACCATACTTGGCCACATGTCACGTCACTTAATGTGAGCTAATGCATTAACAAATGTAAACTTAATGTTAATTAACAAACCTACGTTTAAAAAAGGTATTTTACTGGGTACAAATTGTGAATAAAAAACGTGTCTAAAATTGCTTTAAAAATCAGAACCACTGGAGAGTTCAAACACAGCAGGCAATGGTTACTAATTGTCATCTACCCACTTTTTTCAAGTCAAACCTAGTTGGCTGGAAACCAAGGTGGATTTATCAAGAACAGTTTTGACTAGTGCCGTCAAACGATTAATCGCGATTAATCGCATCCAAAATAAACGTTTTTGTTTGCATAGCCTATGTGTGTGTACTGTGTATATTTATTATTTCTATATAAATACACACACATACAGTATATAGTTTGAAAATATTTACATGCATTTACATGTATATATTTATATTCATATAATTTATATTATATATAAATATATTTCATATATAAATGTAAAATTTTTCTTAAATATATACATACATGGGTGTGTATTTATATATACATAATAAATGTACACAGTACACACACATATACTATGTAAACAAAAACTTTTATTTTGGATGCGATTAATCGCGATTAATCGTTTGACAGCACTAGTTTTGACAGATAAATCGCACAGTCTCAAATTTAGATAGTTCATAAAACAACAGCAACACTGTAAAATCCAATAGTTTACCTTACTTAGATTTAGTTAGTTATGAAGGACGACACCCTTTCCTCTTCCTTTGAAGTGAATTGGTCACGTCCCACATGGCATTGAATGGGAATTACAGGAAATGAACTGCAATACAAATGCTTGTAGACTAAATTCTGCATAGACCTACATTGGCTTTGTTGATGGCACTCTCTGATCGGCTCTTGTGTCTTGAGTTCTGCAGCAGCCCATGATCCACGGTCAGCTGACCCGCTTCCACACTCAGATCATTCTGAGATTTGGAGAACTCTAGCATCAGGACAAGACAAAACATCCCGGATCAGGCTGTTGTAGAGACTCTTGTGGCTATTACAATGTTATTACAATCAAATCAACATAGAGAAGGCTTGTTTTGTTCTCTTACTTTTTATGTGAGCACTGACAGACACCATCAGGTTCTCCACAGATTTAGTAAATGGCTTTGATTTTTTGAGGTCCTAGTTTAATACAAAGACACACAAACACATTATTAGGTGATGAAGAAATGCAAAGGAAAAAAAATCCATATTACTGTCTTCACCTGTTCTGTTAAATGAATCAATCTGTTATATGATGAGGCTTCATAAACAGGAGGAGGAGTTGGAGGCACGACTGCAATAAAGCTAAAACATAAAATAACCATTTAAAAACACTTTGAAATCATTGATTAAAAAGAGCATGAACTGTCATAAAGTAAATGTGACTATTATATTGATTATTATAACAAGGTCTATATTTGAGGGTTTCCAACCTGAGACGTTGATAAGACTGTAATAGTTTGTCTCCGATGGTTTCATGACTGTTTTCTAAAACCAATACAGAAAGACTCCAAGTTAAGTTCAACACACAAACCATCAATTGTGTGTGTGTGTGTGTGTTACATGTGTTATAAACTTATCCCTATATTATATAGTAAAATTAGTATATTGTATGTAAATGTTATAACATAGGATGATTTTTATATATAACAACTATATGTCAACAATATACATTTAATTTATATATGCAATTTTATTAAATCTACATATATGCAAAAATTTGTATGTATATATATATATATATATATATGGTTTTGTAGTATGCATGTTTATCTTTTATATTTACTTATGATCATATATGACATTTATTTACTTATATAATGGCTGGTTTAAGGATGGAGCTTCATATACATAAAATATATATGTCCAACATGTGTTAATTACACATACATAAACATATATATTTGTTTTGGCTAGGTATATATGTTAATATATGAAATTGTTCTAATTTCTAATAGGTTTCATATATGCTTTTACTTTATATGACAATATATTTAATATTTGAAAGTTTGATGTACATACATTACATATGCGGTATCAATGGATAGTAGACAGTGTAGACAATGGTCAATTATACAATTAACCATGATTATTGAAACATTTTGGCTGAGGAATGCAAGTGTAAAAATACACTGAGCCATGTAATAATATTTACAAATTTGGAAATGATTTAATTAATTTGGAAACAATTAGCTAATGCAAAGAGACAAACCTCTGACATCCGGAAATTTCTTTGCTTGCTGTTCCAGAAACCATTCACCAGATTTGATCTTAAATTCCCTGGATAGAAGTTATGAAAATTGATCTAATTTATGTCATTCATTCAAAGCTTTAAAGGGGTCCTATTATGCTTTTTCACTTTTTCACTTAGTCTGTAATGTTGCTGTGAAAAAGATCTGCAGAGTTAAAGCTCAAAGTCCACTTCAAAAGGAGATATTTTATTTTAACAGAAATCACTTTTCAAAAACTACAACGAACGACTCGTTTGGACTACAACGCATATTTTCCTGGATTTGTGATATCACAAATACCGACGAATGGGACGAGACCTGGTTGAGCTGCACTAGAGAAGGCAACGACTGTTATCACTATGTCGGAGACACGCTAGCTTTCCCAATGCAGACAAACTTAGAGTGGTTACAATCATCCGGGTTTAAATCGCGCTCAAATTGATTTGATTTTGACTCAATATTTACACTGAAGCTCGCAGGCGGCTATGGTAAGGGGCATGACATTTCCTGACCAGGCGCCGAGTGCTGCCAATCACAGCACACACAATCCCAGCTAACCAATCACAGCACACACTGGCCCAGCTAACCAATCACAACACACACTGGTCCAGCTACCCAATCACAACACACACTGGCCCAGCTAACCAATCACAGCACACTCTGGTCCAGCTAACCAATCACAGCACACTCTGGCCCAGGTAACCAATCACAGCACACTCTGGTCCAGCTACCCAATCACAACACACACTGGCCCAGCTAACCAATCACAGCACACTCTGGTCCAGCTAACCAATCACAGAACACACTGGCCCAGCTAACCAATCACAACACACACTGGGCCAGCTAACCAATCACAGCACACACTGGCCCAGCTAAGCAATCACAACACATTTCGTATTTCAGAAGCCTTCATTTGATACGGGAACTATTCGAGCTGTTCATGCCAGACTGGGGAGAGGTGTTGTAATAATGTAAAATATGTGAAAAATAATGTGATTTTCGAACAACCTAGTATGAGAGCCTGTTCTAGTACACCCCCAAAACAAAATCAAGACTTTGTAAAAGAGCATAATAGGACCCCTTTAAAGATTGTTTAATAATGTATTTCTCACAGATTTGAATATTTTAGTATAAATCCATGGGGTTTTGTCTTTACCTGTATGCATGACACATTGTGCACTTCCACTCCTGTGCAGACCAGACGACCCGACAGCACTTACAGATGCGATGGCTGCACCCGCAGCACACTGAACCACAGTCCCAGAACTTTCCCAGAAGCCGCTGACAGCGTGCACATGATCTCTGACCATAGGGACGCGTGATGGCCTTGGCACCCTGTCGACAGATACCCTGAAGTTCTACCTTCAGCCTCCTAAATCAAATTAGTTTGAAATGTTATTTTAGATTTCATAGTACAAGGCATTTCTATTTTTTCTGCACACCGACAAAACAAGGACACATATGTTCTAAAGAAGTTAGAAGTTCTAAAGAACCTGATTCTGTCTGCTTCAATGGTTCGAAGTGCTTTGTCTCTCTGAAGAACCTCCAGGACTCTTTCTCTCTCCAAAGCCTGGAATAACCCGAGATCCATAGTGCAGATGTGATTGTCTATGATTTCCCAGTTTTTCTGTTCGAGTTTCATTTCCTCCACAGCTCAGTTCAGTTCGGAAGATGCCACTTTGCTCAGATTCTGAAAAATTGTTGAATGGTCAAAATGTTGTAGTGTTTTTATTTGGCTTTTCGTTAACTAATGGTTTCAATAAATATTAAATAAAATGTACAATTTGTCAAATTAATTTGATATAAATCAGATGCTTATAATGCAGGTTTCTGTCAGTTCCCCAGCTACTGAGTTGTGACGTTGGCAGGGTCGATTTGAAACATGGCAGATATCCCTGATAGCACACATACATCACGCAGACGTCTATCTGACGTATTTTTTAGAGAGTTTGCTCATCTGCAATACGTCTATAGG